GTGGCCGTCCTTCCCGGTCCCCTTCCCGAACCCGTCCAGGACACTCCTGAGGTAGCTGCCGCCAAGGTCGCCCATCAGCAAGCCTACGACGAAGCCGCCGCCGCCGCCGCTGCCGCTCCCGACAACGACCACGACTACCGCAAGAAGCGCTCCGTCCTTGCGGCTCCCGGCCTCGGCGTCTACTCTCCTCTCCGCTTCTCCTACGGCTTCACTGCTCCCCTCCACTACGGCCACCACGCAGCCTATGGCTCTCCTCTCTACCACGGCGCCGCCCATCCCGCCGTCTACAACGCTGAGCTCCTCCGAGTGGTAAACAACCCCGGCCACGCTGTCTCCTACCGTGTGCACTAAAGACCGCTGTCCCTCGCAACCCCCCTGTGTGCTGTAAAACTCCAAGACATACGGGCAGGTCGAAACAACTGTGATTAACTCTTGTTTTCAACCCAATTCCGTTGAGTGTCTTGAGCTGACGGCATTCAGGTTGGTGGCCTTTTCCCTTGCAGTAGAGAGCGTTTATGATGCAGGTCAACTCCGAACTGAATTGTAGATTTCTCTCCTTTGATAATCTGTGACCACCTTCATGGTCGAAAGTTTCAGGAAATAAATCTGTATTATACACAAAAAAATAATATCTATTAATCCTATATATGATTCAGTCCCGCTTACTTACACTATCTCCATTCACATCCCACAAAAGCTGATCCATCCAGACATTTATAAACACATAAATAATAATGTTTGTATATAATAAAAAAAGTGTCAGAATCGCTTCATTTAAGTAATAAATGCAGCGACTGAAATCTGGACAATTTTGGACCAAAATTACTTGAAGAAAATCTATACCTCTATTGAATGAGTGAATTAATAAAAATATATTATGTATCGTTTATGGCCAGTCTATCAAATACATGGAAAGAAGGTAAATTGAATACAAACATTTCAAACTATTAAAATTAGTCATTTAAATTCTGGGATTATCTCATTCTCTCCCTCTCTCTTTTTTTCTTTTTTCTTTGTCTCTTTCTTCCTCTCTCTAGACCAATCAGTTTGGTTACTTTTATATATGTTTGTTTATATTATTTGTATTAATGGAGTGATAGATTTAGATCTCCTCAAGCCACATCTATTCTTTAAAATCATACTTTTGATAATACTACAGAAGTAAATAATATATATTTTTACTGTAAATTACATTGGTACAATCGGTTACTTTTAGGCATCAACTTTCGAGTCACTTTTTTTTTTTTTTTACTAAAAGGATGGCGCTTGCAATACATAGTGAAGTTAACATTCATAAACTGTTTCAATAAAGAAAATAATGCAGCTTCTTGAGATCAACCAACAGAACACCATTTTTTTCTTCATGTCTTAGAAATTATCATACACTGTAATCAGATACAATGATCCACAAACATTTTAGTTAAATAAATAAAAAATAAAACTTTCAAATATAATTATCATTTTCTCATTATCATTCATACTAACAAGACTTTCGACATGCCTTTTACGAAACAAGAAAACGACAAGGACTTAAAACAAAGAAACTTTTAACGAGCCCCCAAGGTCAAGGGGAATGCTCAGGAGGGGTCAATAAAGCCCCAGGAGGTCAGTCTAGAACCTTGGGGGGGGGGGGGGGGGGTCTGTGGACGACGGGGGGTGGGGGTAAGAGGGAGGGTGGAGGGGGGTGGGGGGTTCTGAATTCATTGACGGGTACAATTTTACTGAAAGTGAGAATTTTAATTGGGTAAGAGTGATTCTTTGTTTTATTATCATTAATAGTTACTAGTATAATTCTTCTTGTCAATGTTATTATTCCTATCATTGCTATGATGATCATGATGATTATAGCAGTAATGGTAATGAATCATGTTATTATCATTATCAATATCATTATTATTATTATTATCATTATTATTATCATTATTATTATTACTACTACTATTATTATTATAATTATTATCATTATCATCATCATTGTTAATATTATTATTATTACCATCATTATTATAATAATTTTCATTACCGTTGTTATCATTTTTATTATTACCATCATCATTATGTACAATCACAGGTAGTGTATGAAGCTTCGAAACTCTTTTAAGCCAAACAACAGGAGTTACTTAGTTTAGTTATTCGAGACAGATTTCGAAACGTGTTTGAGGTTTTGACTGACTACATTACATTATGTTACTCGGTAGGGAGGGGGGATAGGGTCAGAGTGAGGGGATGGGGAGTGGGTAAGGGGGGCGGGGTGGGGAGTGTGTGCGCGTGTCTGTGTGTGTAAATGCGTGTGTGTGTGTATATGTATATGCATGTATGTGTAAGCTTCCCTTTGAGAATGTATTTATCACTATAGGTAAAATTCGTTTGACTTTTATTTGTTATTATTTAGTCGTAGAAATGAGACTTTTAAGCATTTGAAAGTAAGAACTGTCCCCTTCGTTTCCCTCTTATGGTCAAGATCCTATAAAAACCGCATAATATTGAACTAAATACGACATAAATCCAAATACTCATCTCTAGGCTCTAAAAAACCTTATCTGAAATTGTTTTGGCTCGCGCTCTCTATCGGAATCAGGAAAAGCGCCATGACGTCACAGTTATTCTGATATCTTGAATTCTTATCTTTCGTTCTAAGTTGTAGTTTGTTGTTGTTGTAGTTCGTTTTTTTTCGTAATTGTTTCTTATTTGATGAGCGAAGGAACTAAGTCTTCAGTGGCTACCATTTCCTCCTGAGCAGTGAAAACGAAAACGATTTTCACTAACGATATTGGCCAAGTATGTTTTTTTTAACACATGCATACACACACACACACACACACACACACACACACACACACACATATATATATGTCCATATATGTGTGTGTATGTATGACTGTCTGTGTGATTGTCTGTCTGTGTATATATGTACGATTGCATTTATGTATGTATGTATTTATATTTGTAAATATGTACGATTGCATTTATGTATTTATGTATGCTTATATGTATATATGCATATATGTATGTGTGCATGTAAGTAACTACGTAAGCATGTATGTTTGTATGTATGCACATATATATGTACGTATTTATGTCTCATATATTACCATCATTATACTAAAGATCATTTTCGCGTTGCATTACCAGCCAGTACGAATACATTAGAAAGCAAACTACCTTTTTTGCTATTACGGGCTTGTGGTTTGTTTGCGGCTTGTGAGAAGGAACCGAGGATATCTATTAATACTACACGTCCTCTGACAACCCTTTTATAATCTAGTAATTTGGAAAAAAAATCTAGTCTATGACATCTCCTCGTTGATTTCGTTCGGTTTAATAGTCAGAGTTATTGCAACTTAGTCTTAGTTTTTTTTTTTTTTTTGTCATTTTGGAGTCTTGTTGTTGTTGTAACAGGAAGCGCCAGTGTCAGCGTGGGTGAGGAAGTCTAAAAATCAGTCTGGTTTTAAATTAAGTCTTTTGTTGATGAAGGATATTTTCAGGGTTTCACAACTTTAAAATACTTATCGATCTCAAGGTAAATATCCAATGTTCTAATGAACTTTCATATATATATATATGTATATGTATATGTGTGTGTGTGTGTATGTATATATATATATATATATATATATATATGTGTGTGTGTGTGTGTGTGTGTGTGTGTGTGTGTGTGTGTGTGTGTGTGTGTGTGTGTCTGTGTGTGTGTGTGTGTGCACTCATATATATATATATATACACACACACACACACACACACACACACACACACATATATATATATATACACACACACACACACACACACACACACACACACACACACACACACACACACACACATATATATATATATATGTGTGTGTGTGTGTGTGTGTGTGTGTGTGTGTGTGTGTGTGTGTGTGTGTGTGTGTGTGTGAGTGTGTGTGTGTGTGTGTGTGTGTGTGTGTGTGTGTGTGGATCAATTCTTTGTTGAAACTATTTTTTTTTCTCTCTCTCTCCTCCCCTCTCTCTCTCTCTAAAATTAAATAGCAATTATACGCAAATACAAGACAGTGCGGGGCGTTACTTTGAAAATCAAGGTGTTTGTTGGATTATACTGTGAACTGTTGTGCGGAGGAAATTCTTGCAAGGGAAATCATATATATACTGAATTATATGTAGCTGACCCATTCATCATTAAGGAAGGTCTACTCATAGAATTATCAATCTTCTCTTAATTCAACACCTTGATATCAGATTCGCCTTTGATACTAAAAAAAAGAACAAAAACTTCCTTTGATTTACACTCTAGTCTTTAATGAGCTGCATGCTTTCTCACTCCACAAAGATCTTTGACAATACACACACACACACACACACACACACACCACACACACACACACACACACACACATATATATATATATATATATATATATATATATATATATATATATATATATATATATATATATATATAAAACAAAACATCTCAAAACCAAATAGAAACACCTGCTATATACTACAGTTTCAGGGCGACGTCACGAGCCCATGTGACCTCCGCCTAGACCGTGACAGAACACACACACGCGCCCTCACGACGCCGCAAACACCCAGGCGACCCACCCAGGAAGTGCAATTGGGAGAATAAATGCGCAACGGCATCCCCAGGGTGGTGCTCAAGGCAACCTATATAAAGCCGAAAGCTCCTTACGCCTTCGCCAGACGCCTCTTTGTTGCTGCCAGTCATGGTTGTTGGGGTAAGCATAGGGGTTGCAACTTGATCAGGTGATCAGGCGTGCGTTATACACACGTACAACACACACACAGATATATACAAATGATTTATATATATATATATATATATATATATATATATATATATATATATATATATATATATATATATATATACATATATATATGCATATATAGACCCACACACACACACACACACAGAAAGAGAGAGAAAGAGAGAGAGAGAGAGATAGGGAGAGAGAGAGAGAGAGAGAGAGAGAGAGAGAGAGAGAGAGAGAG